CCCAAAAAAAAATCCTTAAATTACTTTATTCAGTTTTATGTGATTTCCGCTTGACGACGTAAACTTACAAATTTGTGCTTGAAAATCAGCCGGATGAAAATTCGAGAATTGTCCAACTTTATTCATATGATTTTAAAATAGAATTGATAGAGCTATCTGCTGTAAATAAAGTTAGTTTAGTTTAGGTTTCCTCCTGTAGTAACACTGGATCAATAAGAGATGATCCTTACTCGACCTCTAGGAAGCACAGTTTCGAATTGATAGAACTATCCAGTATAAATAAAGTTAGTTTTGCTTAGGTTTCCTCCTGTAGTAACACTGGATCAATAAGAGATGATCCTTACTGGACCTCTAGGAAGAACAGTTTAGAACTGATAGAGCTATCCAGTATCAATAAAGTTAGTTTAGTTTAGGTTTCCTCCTGTAGTAACACTGGATCAATAAGAGATGATCCTTGCTGAACCTCTAGGAAGAACAGTTTAGAACTGATAGAACTATCCAGTATAAATAAAGTTAGTTTTGTTTAGGTTTCCTCCTGTAGTAACACTGGATCAATAAGAGATGCTCCTTACTGAACCTCTAGGAAGAACAGTTTAGAACTGATAGAACTATTCACAACAAAACATGACCCACCTGATAGCCATAACTGGATAATATAGCGACAATCATCATGGGAGCAAAGGATTGTGCAGGTTTCGTGAACAGAGCATTGGTGCCGTACACAAGAGAGGAGACTGGCGAACTAAAACATGAGAAAGTTGTTATAAGAATCGTAACTTAATATCCAATGCTACCTTTGGCAATGGTGTGCTTTATTTTTACCTTCGACTATACTTGACCAGGTCATCATCAATTATGTCTGACAGCGGCATATTGAACTGTGAGAACGTCGCACTCGGAATACTTCTGAAAAACGAAATAGTAACAGAGTGTGTTATATAATAGTTGTTTTGCTACTCTGATAAACCTAACTTTACTGCGGATTTCGATTTACCGTTTCAGGGCTTCCGTTTCCAGTGATTGTTTTCCCGTTAAAACGAACAAGTTGCTAAGGGCCAATGTCAATGTTACTAAGTGAAGTCTAGTGGTCTTTGTCCGTTGTTTTCTTATCCGTTGTTTATCATTTGTGAATGTAACTGTTATATTCGTATTTATCTCGTCATTGGCAACATTTTGATATATAATTTACAAAGCTTTGTGGATCATTTCATGTTTTTATTGATATTTTGGAAATTGTAGCGTATAAAAGGCCAGTAAATGATTTTGAAGCCTTTTATACGCTACAATTTCCAAAATATCAATAAAAACATGAAATGATCCACAAAGCTTTATATATCAAAATGTTGCCAAAGACGAGATCGAACGGTAAATCGAAATCCGCAGTATTTATACTGGATAGTTATATCAGTTCTAAACTGTCCTACCTAGAGGTCCAGTAAGCTCATTGATCCAGTGTTACTACAGGAGGAAACCTAAACTAAACTAACTTTATTTATACTGGATAGCTCTATCACTTCTAAACTGTTCTTCCCAGAGGTCCAGTAAGGATCATCTCTTATTGATCCAGTGTTACTACAGGAGGAAACCTAAACTAAACTAACTTTATTTATACTAGATAGCTCTATTAGTTCCTAACTGTTTTCCCTATAGAGGTCCAGTAAGGATTATCTCTTATTGATCCAGTGTTACTACAAGAGGGATCCTAAGCTAAACTAACTTTATTTATACTGGATAACTCTAACAGTTCTAAACTGTTCTTCCTAGAAGTCCAGTATGGATCATGTCTTATTGATCCAGTGTTACTACAGGAAGAAACCTAAACTAATCTAAACTAACTTTATTTACAGTATACTGGATAGCCCTATTATTTCTAAACTGTTCTCCCTAGAATTCCAGTAAGGATCATCTCTCATTGATACTACGGGAGGAAACCTATACTAAACTAACTAAATTTTACACTGGATAGCTCTATCTACAGTGCTAAACTTTTCTCTCGAGAAGGTTCATCTCTTAATGGTCCAGTTTTACTACAAAGATCTGTGGTGTTTGGTAGAGTCAAACTGGAATCATTCTTCTCATATGTGACTAAGGCAAAATTATAATCACAAAAGAGCGCATTGCAGGAATTCAAGCCGAGAGATTTTATATAAACAAGCTCACTTGTCAAGTACGAAGAAAGCAGCCAAAATTAGTATTTGATTTGCTCCACTCAAGTACAATAAAACTGCCATTGCAAGCTGAAATGCAAGAAATACAATACAAGTTTAAATTAAATACATTTTAAGTTTAAAATCCCACTATTCTCCATGCCATCCAGTCATGATCCAGTGATCAGATTGTTCCATTGTCTTTTCATTGTTTTGAAAATGTCACTGTTCTCCATGCCATCCAGTCATGATCCAGTGATCAGAATGTTCCATTGTCTTTTCATTGTTTTGAAAATCTCACTGTTCTCCATGCCATCCAGTCATGATCCAGTGATCAGAATGTTCCATTGTCTTTTCATTGTTTTGAAAATCTCACTGTTCTCTATGCCATCCAGTCATGATCCAGTGATCAGAATGTTCCATTGTCTTTTCATTGTTTTGAAAATCTCACTGTTCTCCATGCCATCCAGTCATGATCCAGTGATCAGAATGTTCCATTGTCTTTCATTGTTTTGAAAATCTCACTGTTCTCCATGCCATCCAGTCATGATCCAGTGATCAGAATGTTCCATTGTCTTTTCATTGTTTTGAAAATCTCACTGTTCTCCATGTCATCCAGTCATGATCCAGTGATCAGAATGTTCCATTGTCTTTTCATTGTTTTCAAAATCTCACTGTTCTCCAT